ATTTAATGCCTTCTGTCTTGATTACCAATTTTCTCCGCTTTTCTTGTTCGGAAGTTTACCCAACTCTCCTCTGTTCAAGATTTTTCCAGATATTAAACTGCATACTACTTAGAAATCTTATCAGCAACACATGCTACAACTACTACAACCCCTACTACCAGTAATCTCCAAATAATCGGAATAACATTAAACGTAGACCAATAAATATTGTTCCTATGCTAATCTATCTTTCTAACAATAGACTGCAAAACATCCAGTTTAGTCTTCTGTTTAGATTTTGGCAAAAACGCAGTTGTCTAAAACAATTATTTTGATTTCATGAAAAATCCCTATTCGAACATTAATAGAGAGAAGACCAGTAGTTCAGCGAAAAGTCTGCTTCCGTTGTATTTATTTTCACAACTGTACAATCGTAAATATATATGGTTATTTTGTATGTGTGTATACATTAAATCTGTCAAACGAAAATACAATTAGTAAGTTCTTTGGTGGAGTTACGTAATATGAAAAGTGTTCAGAGGGTAGTAACAAAAGTAATGGGTTGTTACAAGCGATTGCTAAGGAAGCGTTACGCAATAACAAGAATAGTTTGATGAAAGAGTTGTCCTCACGGTGTATATGGAAACAAAATAAAATACGGAATTACTTAAGAGTTTTAAAGGAATACAAGAGTTTTAAGTAGTCAGATAAAACAAGCATAAGCTAAGCCAAATCAACAGAGTTGTTACCATGATAGTGGAAGTAGTTGCATAATTTTCCTTTGTATGAATAGTTCTGGTTCTTTTAAATGAATGGATAGGGCTTCTGCATTGCGAAGAAGGCAGAAACGTATTGTCTTTGGCAGCTTGTTCTTCACTTTGTGGATTAATTTGAAGGAGACGTTTGTTGAGATGTAATGACCAGTGATGACGAGATATTCGATTATTGCACTCCTTATACGGCCACTACTTTCTTTCTGCAGCCACACTGGATAGTATTCTTTGACCCTTTTTGATAGGGTGCTCGTCAAACAACCGGTGTACCTGGCTGCACAGCAATGGGTGAACTGATAAATACACACAGAAGTGGTCAGGTACAAGATCTTGTCCTTTGAGCTGCTACTGATTTCCTCTGTTCACTAATTACACTGATATCTCTAAAGTAAACCTGCTTTTACAAGTAATTATAAAAAAAACAAAATGTATATTCTACAAATTGACTGATAGTCTGAATCACTCTTGTTATTTATAAAATAATTATTGCATATTTCAGTGAAGAAATCATATGTAATAAGTGTCTATTACATAATATTTCACATTCATTTCAAATTACCGCTTTTTGAGAGAATGCTGAAAAGGCATTTACAAAAAATAAAGGTCTTCAGTATAGAGAAAAATTCGAAGCGGGCTAACCTGAGTACAAAAGTTCAAAAACAGACATCTATTGTATGTTCAGGCAGAAGCATTAGTAAAACCTTCACTGGCTTAGAATTTAGGAATGAAGGAATTTTGTCCCCTTCTTTTTGTCTGAATCTTCAATCGGGTATTTGTGAATCTGTTGTTAGGGTTGCTATTCGAAGTGGAGACTAGTGACTGTGCATACAGATACCAGGACTCTTGAGTCATGACTAACGCATCTAATCCATAGGGAACAAAATGCTCGACAAATATTTCAGTTACAGGATGTCATCATCAGCTAACATTGGTTAGAGAACCATTGGAAAACCTGGGAGTACTGGACAGCTGTTTCGTCCTAGTTTGGGACTCTTCGTCGGTACGCACCCACCGGGGCTCGAACCCAGGACTTTCTGGTTACAAGGCGAGCTCGTAGACCATTGAGCCACTGGGACCCGATCCTGTTGAAGAGTCCCAAACTAGGACGAAACAGCTGTCTAGTACTCCCAGGTTTTCCAGTGGTTCTTTAACCAATGTCAGCTCATGATTAAATCTTCTAACCAATCAATCAAATCCCTACAAATCAATACTTGAAAACATTTCAGTGTTACCTAGGATTCCATAGCAAGTAATACCCAGGTGTCTATGCAAATGGTCATCTTCAGTCACATGATATCATGTATTCTTTTTCTATATGGGTTTTATCAATATATAGCATATATGATTTAGTGTAACCGAGTCAGATATTCAATTCAGTATTGAATAAGGTCAACTTTTGTTGGACAGTTAGGTAGCTAAGTTTCTGGATTGGTTATTAACTTACTGTAATTCGAATCTCTACATGGGCAAGAGTTGTCATCACGATGAAAGTGGCTTCATTTTCATAAACTGCACATATTTAACACCCATTTAATTTGTCTCGAAATTTCTTCTGCGCTCTTGAAAGTTTGAGTTCATTTTACAGGATGAATCACAATTATGAAACGATATTCTAAATTAAATCTAGTAGTCGACTAGTCGTAAAATCAAGTGACAATCAACAAACCATGGTAGAATTATGGAAAATGCCATTGTATCAGAGGATTCTATCACTTCAGCTATTAAGTGATGTTATATGATTCCAGAAGTAATCTATGTTAGCTGTTACGACACTGATTTTTGTATTGTTTCAGATTATCTAGAGCATCGTCTGATAAGATAGTCAGTTTCCTAAGACTGTCAAATGGTGGTGAAATTCAACTCTGGAATTAGTTGCAAATGATTGTTTCTAACGTGAGAAAAACTTTTTTCTACAGTTATAAAGTTAAATAATTCAACTATGGTAATATCTGTATTAAGTGAGTAAGATACATGATGCATATCCTTGAATTTTCTGTCTCCGGCAACTTCTTTTCACTTGTACCACATCACTTTTAGATTAAACAAGTTTTGCGCCACATCTCTGTTGATCAGTGTAACAATAATAATAATAACAGCTTTATTCCAAACAGTATTTGTGGTACAGGTATGGAATTTTCAGCCTGCATTACAATATATTGCATCTAATTACCTCATAAATTTTATAAGATTTTGAAACAAAAAGCGACAACCAAAAAAATAGACAAATAAAAAGAAATAAAAAAGAACAGCGTTGCGTTTACATTCTAAACAATGCACCACACGATATGAAATATAAAATTGGTGTGTGATAGAAGATGTGAACAACAGTGTAATAGTAACGAGGAAAGGAAAACAAAAACGAATGGGATTATTTGTTAGAGTGCCACAGTAAGTTGATCGTGTCATACCTAACGGATTTCTCATCACATAACAGCTGTGCCAGATATGGTATTGTGGAGATTTTGTACTTGGTAGTCCTAGCATATAGCCTCTTACAGCTGCTTCTAGTTCTACCAGATGAAATGCAAGGAGACAGCTGCGTATAGAGAGGATGCTCGGGGTCTGACAATATAGTATTCACTAGTTTCTTACATGACATTATATGCCTATCCACAATAGTGTTAACCAGTTGGTTTAACGATATCCCACTTGCCCTACTAACGGCTTTTGGTGCCCTTCTCAGCGAAGCAAAGTCTTTCTTAAGTAGTCCAGGAAAGATTAATGGGGAGCAGTAAAGAGGGATGGGTAGAATATAAGAATTGACAAACTGAGAAAGCAAAGACTGCTTTATGCCAAAATGCCTAAATTTCCTAACGTAGAACGTTAAACGAAACATCTTTCTAGTAACTAGCAAGATGTGGGAGGACCAGGAAAGATCGGTGGAAAAACTCAGCCCAAGGTACTTGACATTAGATGTAATTCGACCTCTATGCCGTCAATGATAGTGGGGCCATGTGAGCTAGCTATTTGTTGTAGGTCACGTTTTCGTCTGAAAGTGAAACAGACCACCTGACATTTAGACGGATTCAGCTTGAGACCGTTTGAAGAGGACCACTGACTAATTTCCCACAGAAAGTTATTTAATTTGGAACAATCTGACTGAGAGTTGACAGGCATAGAAACAGAGAGGTCATCAGCATACTTGACAAAAGTGGCTACATCAGAATGGGGCGTCATGTAAGAAAAAAGAAAACAGAAAAGGAGAAAGAACAGCATCTTGAGGAACACCAGCTAAAGTAAGTGAGGTAGGGAGGACTTTCCATTGTAGACGGTGTACTGATTCCTATCAGAAAAATAGGAATGCAGCCATTTATTTGTCCAGCTCTCAGAAGACAAGGGCCAGGCAACAGATCGTTTATTAAGGAAATCAACACGTATTTATATATTTTCATGTACATTATTATAGCTTATTCAAGCAAACAAACACAGTCTTCTGATTGGTTGTTTCTCACAGAAAGTTGACCTTGCATCTCTTTATGACTGTTTCTTGAGTGTCAGGTCATCTGTATGTTAGCTGTATCTGCCTACGCAAAGTCTACTATGATTAGCTGTTGAATCAGTCTTGTTCATATTTTCTCACGGCCAATGTTTGCGACATAAACATAGACGTAAATTAATGTCTACCAATTGGCTAGCAGCTACCTCTCACCACATCAGTACTACCCTACTGTGGTGTGCACTATTGAGGGAGTCTTCCACAAGAATCTTGAAAAGTGAAACAATGTATTAAGTTACAAACGGGAGAAATGACAATACGTGTGAATGAATCAAGAAAACATGGAATGACAACTACAAAAATCCGGATAGAGGAATAACATTCACAGTTTCGATATAGTATTTTAGGATATCCTGTCATCAATGTACAACATTTTGCTACTCAGTACCCCTGTGTTCTGAATATTTTATTCATTTTTGTTTTGACAAGAATCAAATGTTGTTTAAATAGATGAAATCATAGATGCTGAACATTATTTCGCTTTGTATCACCATAGTTACACATAATGAATAGCTATGTCAAATTTATCAGGTGTCTCCTATTATTATTATAATTATTAACATTTCTGGTTTTTGTAAAACAGAAAAAGGATTTTTCTGTATTGTGATTAGTTAATTTGTTGAAAAGAGAAGTGTAAACATTAACTAGTTGTTGTTTTTTTAAGTTGACCTGATAGGCAACACGATTTGTTGATGAAGAAACAAATTCATGAGTATATTTCTGATTGGTTAAAATTTCAATAAAAAAATTAGTATAAGTATACAAAACGCTCTTCTTTTATACTTGAACAAACTCTACTGGTTCAGTCGTCACTTGTTTTTGCGTTTCATAGATATACAGAAGAGGTGAAAACAATCATGATGATAAAACTTATGCTGACTTTATTATTCTGTTTCTCTATCACTGCAAATTCAGAATTTGATCCATGTATTACAATAATCATAGGTCTGTCAAATTGTATAAGTAAACCATACAGAGATCGTAAGTTCATGCTTATTAAAGTATCTTATAAATATTATAAGAATAATTTGTAGTGCATTTTATTGTCTGTACAAAGTAATCACTGGATTATTATTATTATTGTTCCCTTGGGTACCTAGTGGAACATAGGGCTTCAACTGCACGTCTCCACTTGCTTCTGTTTTCCTTCTGCTGTACTTTTCACCTGCATCCATGTTAGTCCATACTGTTTCAACTCCTCATCACACGATCTCCTCCGTGTCACCCTTGCACTGACGTCCCACTCGTCTCTTCCCTTTCGCCCTGGTTCCACTCGAGCAATGGCCTGACGCGCGCGCGATGTCACCCAGCGGTCTCCTCAGCGAGTGTCCAATCCATCTCCACTTTCTCCTGCATATTCGTTGATTGGCGATTGGATCTTCATTTGTTTGCTTGTTCGCATAGTTTCTTTTTGGTGATTCTTTCTGGCCCGGCAATTTGATCTTCAGTATACAGCGAAGACAGTTGATGATAAAGGTCTGCAAGAGGCTGTTGGAAATATTCTTTGTAACCCGCCCGCCAGGTTTCTGATCCGTATAGAAGGACTGACATGACGTTTGTATTGAAAATCCTACCGAATTTTGTTGTTGATGCTGAGTGACGAAGATTTCCAGATTTGTTTCACGTTGATGAATGTGTTTCATTCGCCTAGTTCTAAATGCTTATAGGAAACCAAAAGACTAAGTTTAAAGACTGACCATCAATTTAGGTGAAATGATACTTCAGTAAAGCTTATTTTCTTCAGGTAAAAATAAGTAAATAGCAAGTAACGTTGTACTAAAGTACGACTGACTTCTTGGATCACACGATAAGAAAGTAAACTTCATTGAAATGATTAGAACTATCAGATGGTCATTAATATATATGTAAAACTTGGGCACTGTGGTAGTAAGTAATTCCATATTAGTTTATTTTTTGATGTAGTTGTGTTCTCTAAGCTGGATATTTAATTTGCGAAGCTTTCATCGCCCTACTAGACGACATCTTCAGCGCATACTTCAATTTGAAGTGCGCTTTTAGATTTCTCCACGAGTTTATTAGTCATCTCTCCTGGTGACCCTAGATGTGATTGGTTGTTCTTGTGTTTTCACACCTTCTATGTTACTTGTATTGGATCTGATAGTTTCTTTGACTTGAACTCTGACCCCTTGTGTGTGAGATTCCCTTATTATCGATTGATTTTTTTCTATGTCAGCGTCTCTACTGATTGATGAATCACTGGAATGCCAAGCTTCTAAAAATTCTATAGCATTCTTGTTGTTTCCTCTGTCTAATATTTGAACGCTGGTTGTCCCAGTAGAATTGATGTCCGTGGTTGTCTGGATGCACTGATATGAGGGAGTGGATATCATGTCTTTTGACGGCTAGCTTGTGTTCGTGGATACGAAGACGAAGGGGACGTCCACTTTGGTCAATGTAGTGTTTTTCGCAGTTGTTACAATTTATTTTGTAGATGATGTTGGTTTTATCTTCTTTCACTGTTGAGTCTTTTGGTTGACATAGAAGTGAGTGAAATGACTTTGTTGGCTTGTGCGTGACATCAATTCCTAAAGGTTTGAAGAGTCTTGCAGTGATTTCGAGATATCCTTTATATATGGTATGGCGATTTTCTTTGTGCTTTCCTTTGGGGCTTTTGGTTTGATAGGTTGGCTTGGGGATATATGTCTTTTGATGAAATTTCATGGATATTCATTCTTTTGGAAGACGTCCATGAGATATTTTTCTAAAATTCTCCTTAAGGTGGGAGTGCTGCGATGAGTCCTTGCCCTCTTGAATAAAGTTTATATACAAACACTTCAAATTGAAGTATGCGCTGAAGATGTCGTCTAGTAGGGCGATGAAAGCTTCGCAAATTAACTATCCAGCTTAGAGAACACAACCACATCAAAACCATCTACCTAAGCTACGAATCTTCTCTATCATATCCATATTAGTTTGTTTATTAGATGTATCACACAGTGAAACAGTAATATTTACTGGATGACGTTTCGAACAAAATTTATTTTTCATAATCATATCGATTGTCCCTTTTTCTGAATTTTTGATAACTATATCCTTGTTATTCTTAAGATTTTTCAGGGCTTCTATCTCTGGTTCCGTAAGGTTAGGCTTTCCACATTTTTGTTGTTTTAGTGTAAGTGCACATTGTGCCTGTACTTTGTCAGCCGTTGTTTTGTCTATCCGACTTAGTGCTATTTCTATTTTAGGGATGACATCCTCAGCTTTCAGCTTGTCTATTGATACATTGAAATTTAATCCCTTTTCTAATACACTTATTTCTGTAGGACTTAATATATGTGTTGAGAGATTGATAACCTACTTCGTTTTATCAATAGAGGTTGACTTTGAATTGTTGACTTCATCGTTCTGAGATGAAGATTTCTCCTCTAATAATTTGTTAAACTTTTGATTTGGTTATTATTTGACTTCTTGAAAGTGCTGATTTTGCATTGCTAGAGGACTATGGTATAAGATAATAATCAACATTGGTAACTATTCTCATTAGCTTTTGCTTTAATTGCTCAATTTCACATCTGATATGTTGCAACTTTTTAACGATTCTGTGGATCTCTTCTTTCAGGCATAATTTTTTTAGGCTTTCTATTCTGTTTCTAACTGTCGTCGGAACTGCAGCTCGTAGACGTAGATATGTAGGAATGATTTCATTTTTTAAGCATCGAATGTTGAAAATACAATGATTTTCATATCTTCCTTCAATTTGTGAAAGTCGAGTGAGTTTATTGATAAGTCCTCGTACAGAAAGACCATAAGTCATATTAATATATGTGTAAAACTTGGGCACGTTTGGAAAAAAATTTATTGTTCATAATCATATCAATTGTAATCACACGACTTTGAAACTTGAATTTTATAGTTTTCTTTGTCCTCTCCTATTTGTCGTCGTTGGGATAGTAGAATTTTCCAGATATCTGGGACGGGTGTTGAATCTTTCCTATTACATGTATTTGCAGTCGATTCGATAAACAAAGCTTCTGTTATCAATCTCTCCCTCCACCCTGTGACATTAGATTAGATTTTAAAACTGTCATCCTATCCCATTTTATTGTATGGTTGTGTGTAAATGCATGTAATGCTACAGCTGAACTATTCTCTGGATTTATTATCTTATTTGGGTCAGCCAATCTAGATTTTGCTTTTTACGTTGCAATCTAGCATTGGAAGCTCCCGTTCCTGACTTTCCAATTCATAAGTGAATTGAATTGCCTCAACCTTCAAGTTGATGTGTTCAAAAAAATCTATCTATATTTTGTGTTCTAAGTACAGTGAATGTGTCATCTACATACATCATCTACAAAAATATGGTGGAGATATGTAGATGACACATTCACTGTACTTAGAACACAAAATATAGATAGATTTTTTCGAACACATCAACTTGAAGGTTGAGGCAATTCAATTCACTTATGAATTGGAAAGTCAGGAAGGGGAACTTCCAATGTTAGATTGCAACGTAAAAAGAAAAGAAGATGGGAAGTTAAACACTAGTGTTTACAGGAAACCCACACATTCAAACAGATATTTGGACTTCCGATCGTCCCATCCTATGTCAGTAAAAATAGGATTGGTGAAATGTTTGAGTGACAGAGCACAAAAACTAAGTAGTACCAAGGGAAATCTAGGACAGGAACTGATACACATAAAAGAAGCCTTGAAAATTAACAACTATCCTGATAAATTAGTCAGGAAATATGTAAGGAAATGTAAACATAAAATAAGTAATGATAGTAGCGATAGTGATAGCAATAATAATGCTAACAATAATAATAATGATAATAATAATAGTAATAATAATGGTGATAATAATAATGACAATAATATTAATGACGACACCAACAATAAGGAATCTAATTATCAGTAGTAATTTCATACAAGGAAGGAACCTCAGAAACTTACTCATAATTCTTAACAAGTCAGGAATAAAAGTGGCTGGCATTCAAACCACCCACAAACTCAATTAGAAACGAGCTTTGTCGATTAAGGGATCAATCCTGTGGAGCCTTTAAAACAAAACAATTTAGTTTATCTAAGACCCTGCCTACAATGATTGTCAGGTCAAATACATAGGTCAAACTAGTAGGACAGGGGCAGTCAGACTAGAAGAACACAAAAACCTAGCAAAATCTAGATTGGTTGACCCAAATAAGATAATAAATCCAGAGAATAGTTCAGCTATATGATATCGACGCCGTCAAGTCATTCATCATCGTCAGCAAACAAAGAAACAAGAAGATGCTTGCAATTGCAGAGGCTTGTGCAATTCGAATTTACAAACCAGCTCTCTGTATACAAAAGGAGATGGTCGTCACTCTGAATCTACCATGGTAATACGCTTTACTTATTATTCTCTACTTGTTATTACTATTATTCTACCTCTTATTATTATTATTTTGGTTATTATTACTATCATTATTATTATTCTTGATTCACTTAAATCTATGCTTTATCCGTAAGATTATCTTAACTCACTTCAACACTATTAAAATTTATTATAACTATTACTATTGATATTAGTCTGTTTGCAATTCTCGTTATATTCCCTAATGACTAATTGTTTATCTAAGTGATGTAATTAAAGCGTAATGCAATTTATCTTAATTTCGATCTCTCATACTCTCTCTCGCCTTATCTATTTGAACATGACCTGTAAAACATTCGCACGTGTCTTTCTGCATGATTAATTCAATGTAGATTATTTACTTATCAGTCTTATATATCCCAATGTAATTTCAAAAGTATATATATATCCGTGTATGTAGAGTATTCAGCTGACGAGTTCTACCGAAATTTGATGAATTCATTAAATCCTGCTTTATTAACCTTTATTGCTTGTTTTAAGTTCAGCCATAGCATTACATGCATTTACACACAAACATACAATTAAATGGGATAGGATGACAGTTTTAAAATCTAATCTAATGTCACAGGTGGAGGGAGAGATTGATAACAGAAGCTTTGTTTAT